CGATCGAGTACATTTATATACTCGATCGAGTATATTTTAAGAAAATCCTACGGCGGCCAAAATTCGATCGAGTATACCCCATACTCGACCGAATACACAAACCTGGAACCCATTTTTTAAAAAAAAGGAGTATACCCGATCGAGTATATTAATATACTCGATCGAGTATATTTCAAGGAAATCCTACGGCGGCCAAAACTCGATCGAGTACGGGGTATACTCGATCGAGCCCGATCCCGAAACAAGAACAAACCGAGGTGTACCCGATCGAGTAATCGGGGTACCCGATCGGGTACACGAATTTTAAACGCGAATCAAAGGCCAAAATCCAACCATTCTTCTTCCCCAAAATCCCAAAATTCGAATCCCTCCTCCCAAATCCTCCATTTTCACACCTTCAAACTTTGATTACTCTATCATATCTCAACCAAATCAACCCAAACCACCACCAAAACACTCCCCTCACCTTCCTCTACAATACCATACCCATCAAACTCACCTTCTCCCCATAACTCAAAAAATCCGAAACCCTACCCCCTAGACCCCAAGTCCGAACCCAAGCTCCCTTTTTGCTCAAAAATGGCACCAAAGAGGAACCAACCGGAGATCTCTAACTCAAGGGGACCTATCCGAGGCTATGAGGATGTTCAATTTGGCCCGGGGGATCATCGGAAGCGATTTGTGGCCATCCTAAAAAGGCAAGTCATTCCCTCTCGCTTTTTATGCCATAAAGCTCTTACTTCTCTAGGTTTGTTGGATGGCATGAGAGAGTTGTTTGATGAATTGCATATGGGCTTGCTTTTTAATGTACAATATAATTGTAATGAAAGGGTCATTTATGAATTCTTGAGTTCGGCCAAGTTTATGTTGGATGAAAACCATTTCTATGATGATACACTCTCGTTTCGGTTGATGAACACCGAATACACTATAACGAGACGTGATTTTGCCGAACACTTTGGGCTCCGATTCCCACATGAAAGGGAAATTCCGGACAATACCATGGATGCTTATAATCTTTGGGGTAAAATGACCGGAGAACGGAATTTTAGCACGTCTCAACTATACATTAGTCACGTGCAACATCCCCTTCTCCGGATTTTCCTCAAATTTTTATGCAACTCTTTGCTCGGCCGCCCCAACAACCATCACACCCGGATAGGGGATGTAGCCATTCTCACTCTTGCTCTTTTCCGCAATCCCGTTGAGTTCAACATTTGCAACTTGATTTAGGATCATCTACAGAAGGCTATCACCAAAGGGGGGAACATTGTTGTAGGGGGTGTTATCATGCATTTGGCTTCCAAGTTTGGCTATGTGGATAATGCCGCAATCTCTAGAGATTCATTGATGCATCTTGGATGGTTGTCCAATGCACAATTGATCTCTTTGGGTAACAAAGACCACAACGGAAACCAAAAATATAGATGGCATATGAAGTACCCCGAACCGGTCAAATACTTCCCCCTCCCTTGCGATGAGTTACCTAGACTTAGGTATAAGATGGAACCCGCCCACATCCCACATTACCTCCTCCCCAACAACATTCCACCCCATCTCCAAGCTCAAGCCGACCAAGCCGAACAACCCAATCCCCAACCGGAGCAACCCGAGCATCAAGAGGGACATGAATATTTCCAACATGACATCCCCGACCTTCCCCAAAACCCGCCACCACAAGACTTCTTCCAACAACTTTTGGCGGGTCAACAATCCCTCTTAACCGGTTTCCGAACAATGAGCCTTGATTACACAAAGATGGGAGAACAATTCACCCAACTTCAAGGAGAGATAAGCTAATACCGAGCGGAACAACAAGCAAGGGACCGCCAATTTGATGCTTTCCGGATCGAACAACAATCGGCATTCCAAAGGATGGAGGAGCAAAGGGCGGCCGACATGCAAAGGTATGAAGAAGACTACCGGAGGATGTATGGGCCCACATATTCCTACATGTCCCACCTTGGCGGATTTGCATCTATGGCCTCACCACCACCAGCACCTTCTTGGTATAACCCCTCCGATTGGGGAAATTTCGGTGGCTCTAGTTCCGGCGGTGGCGGCTATGATGGAGGAGACACCACTATGGGAGAAGGGGGCGGTGATGACATGCACGGGAGCGGCTTTGGAGGGGGCTACTACGGAGGAGAAGGCGGGCACTAGGGATAGTGCCATGCTTCAAGTGTGGGGGAGGAAGATCATCTTTTGGTATGTACACTCCTTTGTTTTTACCTTGTACTAAGCATTAATTTTCGTGTATTAGTTGCACACAAAAAAAAAAAAGAAATAAAATGCTAGTTAGGTTGAAAACCCAAAAGGGCAATCTAAGCAACAAGGGCTTACAAAAAAATAATAATGAGTGAGTGGTAAGGGAAGGAAAAGAAAAGAGATGCTAGGATGAAAACCTGAAAAGGCTCCTAGGCAAAATGAGAGATATGAGAGAAACATTTGTTCTTTTTTGCAGGACAATATCTCTTGAAGAAGAAGAAGAAGAAGAAGAAGAAGGAGAGAAGATGAGAAAAAGAAGAAATAAGAAGCATAGAAGACCGTTAAACCCAAGGAAATGTTGTTTTGTAACTTCATTCACTATACTTGGTGGTTTTGGTTTCTTATTTCTTCCTCTCTATGAACTCATGATCTTGTGATAAACATTGTATAAACATTTGGTTTTACTCGAGGTCGAGTAAAGGAACTAAGTGTGGGGGAGTTGACATTCATGTTATTTCCGTGTTTATAATTGTGTTTTTGATTAGTTTTGAGTGATTGTTACTCTAGAAATTACACACTTTTGGTGTAATAGTTTAGTTTGTAAAATATTTGTAAATTGTTTAGATTAGGTTGGTTCTGAGCTCAAACAGGTCCAAGATCACTCTAGGGACCATTGGTGAACATCACAATTGGAAGGAAGGTGCAAAGATTTCAAGAAAAGATGAAGATTCTGATTTTTGGTAGTGTACCCGGTCGAGTATGCCCTATACTCGATCGGGTAAGTTGCTGAAAAATCAAATCGGATAAATCCGGGAACAAGGCAACATGCAGGAGGATTTTCTAACTCGATCGCGTATCCATACCCGATCGGGTAGCCGACATACCCGATCGGGTATGACCCCAGATTTTCAGTTTCGAGGAAACTAACCCTTACCCGATCGGTTGAGCTAAAAACTCGATCGGGTACACGACCCTGCAGGCCTAAAAAGCCTATAAATACACCCCATTTCCTCCACAAGAAGGACACCAATTCACATATACTTCTAAGCTCAGTTTAGACAAGTTCTTTCTTTATATTTTTATCATGTTTAGTCTCCAAATGAGGAGCTAAACTCTTCCATCTTGGTTTTGCTACTTTGAAGCTTAATGAATTTGTAAGTTGTGAGTTATTATCTTTAATCTTCTTCCTTGAATACTAATTCTTTCTTTAAATACTATTTCTATATCAATGTTGGGGAGTGTTACTAAGATGACAATTAGTTAACATCTTGATATTAACTATAGTAGGATTCATCTTCTTTAATATTCTTCCTTGAGTATTAATTAATTCCTATTCATATTTTATATTAATATTTTGAACATTACTTAAAGGATCAACTAGTTTTGTTTCATATATTAATTATTACTAGAATCGGTCGATTAATACGCTTGTTATTAATTCGGTCCTTTCGTGGTAGTAAACTTGGGTTATTAATGCATGCGTTTCATGGTTAATAAACCAAGGGGAATTAATTATATTGATTAAACCAATAAACCGCTTGTGTTGAGGTTATCAAACTCAATCGTTTTCATCTTGATTTTATTGCTACTATCGAGTGAATATACGGCGCGTGTTCTATATTAACTCGGTAGTAAGTTTTATTAATGAACGCGTCTCGTTATTAATAACTACCCTCGATGAATTGGATATACTCCTCGATTGAGTATTCGAGAGGAAGATAGTTAAAGATATAACCGGGATCGACGAACATTTCATTAAGTGGATAAAAGCAAAGCCAAGCCTTCTTCTCATTAATTAAACCACATAACTCGTTCATCTTCGTGTTTAAATATAATTTAAAGTTCATCAACCAAATTTAAACCCCCCTTATTGTTACTTATCTATTTCTGTAAGAAGAAAAGTATTCCTTTCCCTGTGGATACGAACCTTACTTCACTATACTACGTATTTGTGTTGTATTGTATTATTACTTTGAGTGCACCTCACGACAAAGTGCACGTCAACGTCTCACTAAGATTATCTCATATCAAATTTGGTAAATTCTGTGTGATTCTAAGGGTGTGTTTGCAACAACTTCTGCTTTTAAAAAAATGCTTTTTTTAATGCTGTTTGGTAAAAGAAGTGTTTTTTTAAAGCCAAAAGCTGAGAAATGCTTTTTTTAAAGTGGTTGCAAACCAACCCTAAATCATTCCCACTTCTTCAATTCAATGTCAATCACATAAATAATTTTTATTGATTTGTGTGTCACTCTCTTGTCCCATTGTTAGTGAGTTGGAGGAGTAACATTTAAGGTTGAGAACCAATACCCTTGAACAGGAATCGAGCAAATATGAATGTGTATGACCAAGAACTGATCGTGTGTTACATAATTACATTATTCCCTATCTAGTACGTAGTACTCCCTCCGTAACATATATATGTTCCCATTTGAAAAGTAGGTAGATTAAGAATAGTGAAAGGGCATATTAATTATTGAGGGTATGATGGGAAAATAGTGAAATAATGTGATGGAATGAAGGATAAATCCAAAAAAAGTAGGTGTAATAGTGTATTATTTTTAAAATTATTGGGGGTATGATGGGAAGATTTAGAAATGGGAAGATATGAATGTTACATCTAAAAAAGGAAAGTGGGAAGATATGAATGTTACGGAGGGAGTATATTTTTAGAAAATTTTCTTCTTTCCCAAGCCTTCCAATCTTCCGGCTATTTTGTCTCCACTTCCAACTGAATTGACTTTCTGTTAGAATGCTTCTCCTCTAGTCCTCTTTGGACTTTCCCTCTTATTGATTTTTTTTTTTTTTTTTTTTTTTTGGCAAAATTCAACTTAGCTTGTATTAATATAATCATGGTTCAAAGAAGCTGAAATACAATCAGGATGGAAAGAAAACCAAATATGGCAGCCAGACATAGAATCAGCAGCTTTAGCCATATCATGTGCCGCCCGATTCGCTGACCGCCTCACATGAGCAAAAGTTATGTCATTAAAACTAGTTGAGAGCTCTCGAATATCGCCCACAATAACACCAAATGATGATTCATCTTCCCCACTCTGAATGGATTTGATCAACTGTAATGAATCTGTCTCCAAGTCTATATGGTCCCATCCCGCTTCCTTCAGCCAACTGAGAGCTTCCCGGACTGCTAGCGCTTCCGCCTCCCTTGGTAGAAACACCCCTGTTCTATTAATGGCACCCCCAACGATGAACTCCCCTTCACTGGACCTCGCTATCCACTCTAAGCCCATGCTGCCTGATCCCGTTTTAACCGCAGCATCAGTATTTATCTTCACTCTTCCTTCATCTGGCTTCACCCACCTCACAGTTGTCTGCAATTGATTCTGTGACTTGCGGTTTGTTCCTTGAGCTTGCTGCCAACCTTCCAGAAATGTTAAAGCTCCAGCCACAATACTCTGAGGTGGCGTATAAACCTGCTGCCAAAGGATTGTATTCCTAGCATTCCATAACCCCCAAATTAGCATAATAAACTTACTGCAACGTTCCTCATTGTGGTTATTCATTAATCTCTCAACCCACATCTCAAAGCTTATACTAGCATCAAGCTGAAATGACCAATTCATTAAGCCCCAGACCTGCTGTGCAATAGGACATAAACAAAAAATATGAAGTAAACTTTCCTCTCCCGCTAAACATGATTGACAGATCGGGGAGCAGCTTACTCGTTTAGTCATTAAGGTATCTGCCGTAGGTAAACAGCCTATACACGCCTGCCAGAAGAAGAATTTGACCTTCGGTGGAATAGGTAAATTCCACATTCTCGTCCAGCCATAACTCGAAACATTTCCTGAGCTTTGCATCAAGAATTTGTAGCTGCTTTTCACCGAATAATTGCCATTCTCCTCCCAACGCCATACCAATTTATCTGGTACATGCCTTTGACTCACCGGTATTCCAAGAATCAGCTCCCTATCCCTGTTACCAAAAATATCATTTACAATATCAACATCCCAGCCTCCTCCCCCGTCCCTCTGCAATAAACCAGCCACTTTACACCCTTCCAGCCCCTGAACAAGTTGAGATTCCACCCTCGGATTATCTAAGCAAGGCAACCAAGGATCATCCCAAACATTAATAGAGTCCCCCCGACCCACTCTCCATCTATAACCTTCCTTGATCAGAGACTGGGTCTCTATAATGCTTCGCCAAATAAATGAGGGATTGTGCCCAATTTTGGCTTCTAAAAAAGAAGAACGGGGAAAATACCTGGCCTTCAATACTTTCGCTACTAGACAGTGTGGTTTAGTAAAGATCCTCCATGATTGCTTCCCGAGCATAGCCAAGTTAAACTCTCTGAGTCTTTTGAAACCCAACCCACCTCCCTTCTTCGGAGTGCTCAAGTTGTTCCAATCTTTCCAACGAATCCCCTTTCCAGAAGAACCTGTCCACCAGAAGCCATTCATAATACGTTCAAGTTCAACACACATGTCTTTAGGGAATAAGAAAACATTCATAGCGAATGCTTTGTGCGAATGCTTCCCTAAGACTTGGGCCGACACATCTATTTGAACATATCGATTCACAGGCCCATCTATATAGTAAATCTTTGGGCCCAACATAGGCATGGACTCGGGCCGGGTGGCCCGACCCGGAACCGGACTTGGCCCGACACTGTTGGAACCGACCCGGTGGGTTTACGGTGCGGGCTCGGGTCAGCTTAATATGGAACTGGCCCGGCCCGTTTCGGGCCTTATTCTTTTCTTCTTTTTTTTCATTTTTTTAATTTCCCGGGTTGGGCTGGGTATTTTGGGCCATTTGGGGTGGTTTGGGGGGTGGGGTGAGGGGGGGGGGGTCGGGGATTAATTAGAAAAAGGAAAAAAAACAGAAACTGGACCGAGGCTCGGCCCGGCCCGGCCCAGCCCGACCCGGATCCGGTGGAAACCCGGGCCGGTCGCGGGCCTTCCCCCAACCACAAAAGGCCTGACCGGGCCTGACCCGGCCCGGCTCCATGCCTAGCCCAACATATATCAATTTCCAGTAACTGATTTTTATTCGCCAAAACATTTTTTCCTACGCAAGCAAAGTAGCCATAATCAAGTAAATACACTCTTAAACAATACGAGACTATGAGTACTACTTATAAAAAATCAGTTAAACAATACTCCGTAATATATTCCGAAATAATATTCTAAATAAAAACTGAAAAAAGATCGGATAGAATTAACAAAATGTCTTGCTATGGCTGTACAAAGTGAACAAAAAACACTTAAAAGTTAAACCCGCCCATAAACTAAAAAGTAGCATAAAACATACGCAAAAAAACTTAAATTCGTCAGTAGGCATCAATGTACTGCAAAGCAAAAATGTATTGAACAAAAGGTACAAATTTTATGATATAACATTGCAGAAAAAGAAACTATACTCCGTATTAGCAGCAAATGGATCGGAGCTAATTTTAAGTACTCCTTACAAATTATTTCACACTCAGGTATCCGAGGTAATTTTTTAAAAAAACACAAATTTTCCAATTCTATGAAATTGTGTATGTTTTATGCTCCATACAAATAGTGTCAGTTTTATTTTCCCTTTGCTTGATGTAATCTTGGACAGACCCAAAAAATTCTTCTTGGAGGGGGGGTTCAATATATTTTTCGGGGGACGAAAGTTATTTTTTGAGGGGTGAAAATTATTTTTTGTATATATATACACTAAAAAAATTGTAGGAGGGGAGGTAACCCCTTGAGTCTGTACTTTGATCCGCCCCTGGATGTAATGATGCTGAAACTTCTGATATGAATAGAGACATTTTGATGATAAAAATTAAATTAAATTGTGTATGTTAAATAGTCTATTTTATTGACCATACAAATGTCAGCCATTCTAATTTCCTTCACCAAAAGCCACATTAACATGTTCATTAGGATGTTTCTTAGGCTTAGGATCAGACAACCTTTAACGAAGTGGTAATTATAGCATTTTTTAATCTTAGATCTGGACATATATCTATCCTTCCTTTTCAATAAATTTTTAAGACTTGTACGTAGTTTGACCCGTTTATTGGGGCATGTGTTTCATTTTTTAACAAAGTAGAACATGTGTTTATATTCCGTTATCATAAGAGGGGCATGACGCCTTACGCCGTTAGAAATCATTGGAGGAAGACGGTAAACAGTAACACCAATTTTCAAAAGTGTCCAAAAAAACAAAAGAAAAATATTGAGAGCTGCACCTCTACCATCAAGCTCTTTGACTTTTTCAGATCTGTTTCGATTATTTTTTAAAAACCAATTCGCTAATATCACTTTTCCGATGGAGCTTTGGGGGACTAGGGTGGATGGACACAAGACAAGAAAATGCCCCCAAGGTCGCGCGCTTTGACGAGGCGTACCACCCAGTATTTTTCTTTGAACTTTTTGGGTATTCTTGAAAATTGGAGTTACTATTCATCATGATCCTCTGGCGATTTCCAAGGGCATTATACGTCATGTCCCTCTTGTGATAACGGAATTTGAGCAGATGTCCTACTTTGTTAAAAAATAAAACACATTCCACTATTTGAAATTTGGCCAAACCACATGTACATTTCCATACTTTTCTCTCTTTCAGTTTACTTCATGTACAATGTTTAAATCCAATTCTTAGCGTTTGAGGTCATTAACAACAATATCAAGAGTCACATTATCTCCATATTTAAAAGTCACAAGTCTCACATCACTATATAATTTAATTAGTCTGTAATGATAACTAACAAAGGAATAAGAGTATAAACGTTTATATATTTATCACTAGACAATTAACATGAGGAATAAGTTTTGTGAAAACATCCAAATTTGCTTCAATATCTTTAAACCATGAAGAAGTGATCTTTGGAGAATGAGAAATGGCGTAGAAACATACGTGTGGCAAGGTAGAAAAGGAGTCCAAATTGTATTTTCGATCTATCTCGAAGAAGAGGACATGTCTCGACATATAATAGGGTAATATTTTGAGACTAAAAAGGACACTCCTATACAGCTTACCGGCCACGAGCTCAATAATGAGCTCAATTTGAATTCAAATGCAGGAGACAAAATATAATTAAGACAGATAAATGGAATAAAAGGTGCAGTGAATTGAACTGCTATATCGACTAATAACTATTATTAATGTACAGACCATTTGTGCTAATAATATACGATAGTATATATTACCCTTAACAAGTATGAACGGAAGTGAAAACTATACACTTCTTGTTCTTGAGATTGTTTGTTGTTCCAATTCAAACTATTTCCTCCGTCCCTAAATAACAGTCTTTGTTTCAATTCTTTTTTGGTCCATTCCTAAATAAAAGTCCCCTTTTCTTATTTGTAAACAAAACAGTGTCAACTAGTGCCACTTTCTTAAAATGTGTGTAAAATGAGAGAGGACCTTCATATGAGATGGAAGGAGTATAATTAAAAATCATACCCGTACAAGCCCTTTAATGGAAACCCATACCATTCGGTGTGTTTTATAAGATTGTAGTATAATTATCCATCCTCATGAACTACTTTACAATTAATGACCAATTCTGAACTCTTAAATGAACACATTTATTGTTTTCCATTTTCGGCATTTGTAAAATAGTTGTAAGCTAATCCATGTCGATCACCAAATAAGCTTTGACATTTACGCTACCTTCCATTCATGCATCCTGAAGAATGAAGACGACAGAGACCTTTAAAAGGCATAACACATTTGACAGTCCCATGACATCTCTAATACCACAACAGCAAAACATCAATGCACAAGAATGGGCGAAGGAAAAACAAACGTGCAATAGTCAATAGAGATGGACAACCACGACTCTGCATATATATTCTCAAATAAAATTGATCAGAATATAACCATAACTTAATTAATTTTACCGTTTTGTTTGGGAGAATAGAGAGCTTGGGTGTTTGTCCTGGGCGTACCAATGAGGTGAAATGTTTTTAGATACTCCCCAAATATGAGTAAAATATAAGAGAAGTGCAAAAATAGGAGTCATTTTTAAAATTGTCCAAATAAGAGTATTTTTTCATGTTTCGACAAGGATACTCCTACAGGGTTGGACCAGCCACCACACTATCAGAGGCCACCAGCACCGCTCTCCACCGCCGATCGGCGATCGTCACCATTGTCAGAAAACTGCTGCTCCTCAATCTGCCTCTGCCGACCGCCAAAATTTTGAAAATTCATCTGTCACCAACCGGCCGCCGTCACCACCAACAGACCGACCCACCACTAATAGACTGAATTAGTTATATAAACAATTAATTATGTTAATTAATTAGATTTCAGTAGAAAAGTAATGTTTAATCTTATTAAGAGAATATTATAGATGAACTCGTATTTAGATAAAATGAGTATTTTACTCTTCTTTTTTTTGCAAAATGAGTATTTTACTATTATTTAGGGCAATATTTTTTTATTTTTTAGCTCCAATTTCATATGTGGATTCATGTCGGCCGATCACTAACTCTTTTGAGACAGACATAAAATGTTGTTGATTGTTGCAATAATGTCTCATTTTAATTAAGGATGAAAAAGTACTCTAATATTCTCCATGAAATATAGTTATGAGTCATTTACCAAAAGTACCCTCTTTTCACTCTTATGGGGCAAATGATTTATTCCGTATGTCTATCGGACATTCGAGACCAATAAGAATGTTTTTTGTTGGACTGTTTCAAATATCGGGCATGAACGAACTAGATCAGGCTTAAACAGCCGAGACTTCAACAAATCAGATTATTAGATTAGACCGGACGAGACTTCAATTCTATAGTTATAAATTACACTTGGACCAGATATCTATTAGGCTAGATCAAATAAGTTCGGTCCATACCAGAGCAGACTTTAACATACCAGACCAGATTAGACCACACAAGAAAATTCAGTCCAATAAAAACATTATTAGCGGTCTCGAGCTTTCAATGAGATAAATCACAAACTTTCCAAAGTTATACTTTCTTCTATTTTCTTGTAAAAATAGAATAAGAAACCCTCAACTTGAACATATATTCCGTACAAAATGGGTTAAACGGACACAGGTTAAGAATTCAACACTTTACATTGTTTTTCTCGGCATATAACTCATGAAATGCCATGATTTGAACATGTGTATTTGGTCACAGTAAAAATGTGATAATCAATCATCAACGCCACTTCAACTAATTTTATCTCATCATTGTCTTTTGTTAGTTGTTAACTCCTGAAAATAATTGAGACGTAGAAAACTACATAAATGAAGTACATCCTATCTTTTCCAAAAAAAAAAGTATAGCCTATCGAATGTCACACTCGATCCTGGACCTCCTGGTTAGATGAAAGAAAAATAAAGTCTCATTTTTACTTTTGTAAACGGTCAACTTTGATAGACATGGAGTAGGATAAGTGCCATATCAACGAACTACAAAAGATCTTATAAGTGACCTATCAAGATCACATAAGTTCAGCCTATACTTGAATAGTTGCATATAGTTGCATCGTTCATTGATCTCGATTTGAGTAGTGGGACGTGCTTTAGAATGAACAACATATAAGATCTTTGTACTCATGATTACATTTTAGATGGGTGGCAAGCATTAGTAGATAGATAGCAAATTAGTTAAGAAGATCTACCAACTCAACTAAATAAATTATCCCAAAAGTGGGTACATAGTTAATTTGGTACGATGATGAACGAGACAAGACAAAATAACCACCAAGTTATACTAAAACATGCATCCCAAAGGTTCATATGTAGTTAATATTTAGAACAATCTGTTCTAGTGAAGGTAACCTTGCTGGCTTTGAGGTCATATGCAACAAGGTATTCAGATTGGGATAGATTGCCGAAGATGGACATCCGTACTTGCTCACCACTAGGCATTATAGCTAAGCATGTTAACCCCCGCTCGGCCCTGACACTAAACATACCCTTCGGAGACAACTCGACGTCAGCCCCACCTGCGAAATGCATCACAATCTTGGGCAACCTACGTTGTTTCTGATCCCAGATGCGGCTGGAATAGCAAAGCCCGCCCAAAGGTTCTTCCACCAGAGTGACACCCGGGATTTCTCTTATCACTGCTTCTTTAACTTCTTCGAACAAATGAGTGGGCACAAATGTCAGTGTGGTTCCCGAATCGATTATTATGTTCCCTTCAGAGTAGGTGGCATTGGGCGGTTGTGGGGTGAGCTTCATGGTTTCGTTCTCAACAGTTATCCCCTCTAGGGTGAGCCAATAAAAGGGTGTTGGCTGGGGTCGTGGGATGAAAGGTGTCGTTACAGCAGCAGCAGGCACATGTCCACGACCAAACCTGATATGGCTCTTTGATCTCGGGTCCCCGGAGAGGCAATAAGCGAATTCCCACCCGAATTGCTTACCCAACTGTGTGACAATGGAGGCTTTAGACCCTCCCAGACCAAAAATGCCCGAGGTCTTATTGAGAAAACCGCCGTTGTTCTTGTGACCACACCCAAACACCACGTTTTTAAATGGGCTCTTTCCGATTGTGACAGTCTCCCTTGCCACTTCCCCCGTGCTGAGGGATCTATCTCCGTACATCATTATGTACGAGCAAGGGCTGCTGCTGCTGCTATCGTTGGACGGACATCCTTGGGAAAGGTGACTTGTGATGTACGAACATGCACGAGAACCGCATTGCACACTCTCGTATGATTGACTTTCAGCCGGGTCGAATATGGGAAGGATAGAATGGTGGCAATCTGTGCATGGCTTGCACTGAATCCAGGTGAAATGACTGCCTGTATCGATCAGTCCATATGCCATGAAGGGTGGCGTCCCCATGGAGAATCTCATGGCATATCCGCCACTACCGACATGGTTGGTTATGGCCGTGATGGCTGCTTTTGAAGAACCGTCGTCGTATTCCATGGCCGTCTGAACATGAGCTGATGAAGCCGCTTGGAAAGGATGTGAGGGGGAGAGTGGATGGATCAGTTCCGCAGTGAAGACCTTTGAATCACAACCTCTAACAATGCACCCATAGATGAAGAGTGCAAGAAAGGCACATATGAGTCCTGACTTCATTTTTATCGACCTTCCCAAATTTCAAACAATGAAACTCTGAAAGTTTGGTAGTAAACTTTTCTTTGCTTCGGTTGGTTTTCACAGAGAGTACTGATCCATCGATATGATGATTATATTCTGCTTCCTTGCCTCCTATTTATAACTTGTCTACTGCTTTGTAGTATATCGATTTTCAGTCTCATGGTATTAACCTACTCATGCGTACATATACGAATATACTACGTACAATATATAAATACATCTAAAAGGCGCTAGACGCTAGTCCCATTCATAGAATATATTTAATACGGAGTATATTTTTAAGATTTGATGGACGTGTTAAATCTATAAGAATGCATAAATTAAATTAGTCGGTTTTGGATGTTGTGTCAAGATTGTTTAAATAAAAAATTGTCGGTCCACTTGAACTAAATTAATAAAATTAGTTCAATTGTCGGGAATAAATTGTCGGTCCGCTGAAAATAATAATCCCACAAATTGATATTTTCACACAGATAAAAAAAAAAAAAAATTGTTTGTATCACAAACATTTTATAATTCTCGTTTAAAATTCTCATTTAAAATTGCATATACCACACACATTTTATGAAAAATTCTCGTCTGAAATGTCTGTAACATAAACAATTTTTTTTATTTTTGTATGTGTGGAAATCGATTTTATTCATAAAACGTCGATCAAATTGTGCAAGTAGCCGGTCAAATTATCTGTATCAAGACAATTTGACCAGCGTGTACAAATTAAGTCTACGTACAAATTGCAATAAGATGTCTAAATTTACTTTCACATTTACGTACCAATCTACGTACGTACATGGTTGAATATGTTCTCCACATTTATGTCTTAATTTACTTTCACAAAAATCTAAATACTTATAAGCCTGAATGAGGGTTAATACCCTTTTAGGCATCTAATTTTTGTTTGTGTAACATCATCGTTATGCAAGATTGTACATTACGTTAAAGGCATTGCACGTTTTCATTTTCTCGATCGTCCCCCATTTGTCTTCCGTTAACAAATCCTCATCAACTTCTTAAATCATCCGATCTTCCCGTCTCTTCCGTTAACCTCAAGATCTTACGCCATCCGTTTAGCGTTTAGGTTACCGCGTCCTTGTTTAATTAGCTTCCAACGCCGACGGTTTCATTGAGGCGAGGACGCCCAAAGAGATTCTTAACGCGAGAAGCTTCCTCTTATCGTCTTCGATTCTCCAGACGAGTAGTTTCTATTTCGTTTCTATCTTCCCTGCTTTGTCTTTTTTCTTTCAATTCTATCTTCTTTGAGTCGCTTTAGCAGAAGTGATCTGGTTTGTTCTTCGATTCTTTTTTATTATTTCACTTCTATCATCTTTGATTCGGTTAATAATTGCTACCCACCATTTGTAGTCCTCCACGACAGGCGGCAGCTGTTGAGAAACCTCAAGAGGGCGTGATAAGTCTTCCAATTACAGATTCGTAAGTATTGGGGTAAGATTTTTCCCAATTCTGGCTCGACTTCTTCCTCTAAGTCATTTTCATTTCCATTCATAAAATTGTACCTTATATTTAACTTTATACGCATATTGCTTGTAGAATATTCTGTTGGATCCTATAAGAGACCCGATTTTCTTATAGGTTCCTCAAAAATCTAGGTTCATTGGAAAGAAAAAACGTACTCTGCATATAAAGCATTGGAAAATTTTCAAATATGCTTCTGTCAGATCCTATACTAGAAGCCCTAGCTTGAGAGTTTTACTTGTATATGCTTAGTTTTTTGTTAGGCAAACCATTGGCAATATCAAGCATATTACGTACTGTGCATTTGTGCATGTATATGAATATGCTATTATGACATTTCAATCAAATATGATGTTGTTTTATTTTATTTTGTTCCCGCTTTCTGTTTTAGTTTTTGTTTTCTCTTACGTTTATAGAATTGGATGTTGTTGTTTTTACATTTATAGAATTAAAGCTTAAAGTGTCAAGTTCTTAAGCTCTTGTAACATTTATAATTTTATAGAATTGGAGCTTGTATCTTAATTTCATATACCTTCGAAAACCGATTATGACCCCACATTCTTTCCACCTCCGTGCAGGGCAGGTTACAGAAACTCAAGCGGGTGTCTCACCTTCAATTGTTCCTTTTGTTACTCTTAGAAACATACTATGTATGTTCTTTTTTGAGCAAAGTTTCTCTCCGGTTGCTCAACAGCCGTTCTTCAGGTAAGCCTTTTAGGCATTCCCATCTGTTTTATGCGTGTGTTTATTCACCTTTGTTTAAACATTGGAGTGAGACCCATTTGTTAACCAACAACCTGTGCTTACATAGATCGTTGTAACACTGAAGTTAATGGAAATTGAGAAACTAAAATTTTCGAACATGCTGCTACTTTGCTAACAACTTTTTCTCTAACACTAGAAACTACCAAATCTCTTCATTAATTTCAACTACACTAGAAATTCAATAAGAGGTGTTGTTAAGAGGTGTTGTGTTTCAAAACTTTAGTCATTGAAAACCAAATATTTTTTTGAACAATGTAGTTGTGGACAATTTTGGAGCAATGAAATTTCAGTTAGATATAATGAACAAAAAAAGAGCAACCCCCTGATTAACATGAGGTCAGACTAATAGGGAAAGTAGTACATTATTAGTGTGAAAAGGGTTTCTGTTGTTCAGTTGAAACTAAGTTTAGCTACTGCTTTTAATCAGCAATAGTATTAAATTTCTAATTCCATCTACTATAGTAATTGCATTTGTCAACTTAGAAATACAATGCTTCGAGCAAAAAAAACTTAGAAATACAATGAATTCATTTATCCGTGTCAAATAGTCTGATTTTTTTCTCAAAAAAATGATGTAGGGACTGAGTTTCTCAAATTTATGGCATAGATTATTGCTAGATTTTTGTAAATGGAATTAATGGTGAATGCTTGTCTCGTATTGAGAAAAATTGGAAAGAAAAACTAAGAATGAAACAAGGTGAAGCGTTGAGATGGGAGGGGGGGGGGGATGGTCAATGCCGCCAAGTCAGAAGCTGTTCTCTTCACCTGATCTGATCTGATCTGAATGTTTCTGATCTGATCTGATCTGATCTGATCTGAATGTTCCTGATCTGATCTGAATGTTCCTGATCTGATCTGATCTGAATGTTCCTGATCTGATCTGAATGTTCCTGATCTGATCTGAATGTTTCTGGTCTGATCTGAATCCTTCTGATCTGAATCTTTCTGATCTGATCTGATTTGAATATTTTTAAAATTATAATTATAATTACTATAATTATAAATGTAATTACACATGGATAATCCTATAGAAATAAAAATGCTACGTGTAATTATACTTTTATATAAATTATATTTATATAATTTAAATATAATTATAACTATAATCATAATTATAAAAATTATAATTATAATTATAAACATAATTATAATGGGTATAATTATTATTATACGTATTACACTAGTTATAAATATAGCTATAATTATATTTATAGTTATATTTATTTCTATAATTATAATTATTATTATAATTATAATATTTATTTCTATAATTTTAATTGTAATTACTCAGTATAATATGATAATAACAAAAACAAAACTAACAACAACAATAGTAGTAAGAATAATAATCATCATAGTAATCATTGTAATAATAATAATAATAGTAATAATAATAATAATAATAATAATACTAATAATAATAATATCTATAATAATAGTAATTATAATAATTACAATAACAACAACAACAATAATAATAATAATTATAATAATTATTAATATTAATATAATTATTATTATAATAAAAGGGATAAATCATGTCTGAACTTTTCTGATCTGATCTGAATGTTTCTGATCTGATCTGAATGTTCCTGATCTGATCTGAATTTTTTTTATCTGATCTGATCTGAATAAAATAAGAATAAGCAATAAGTAATAAGATTAAGACGAACAGAACAGCTTCTCAGCTGCAACCATTTTAATTGATACTCAACGGGCTAATAAAAATAATTGGACAGTTTTATATAGTTTGAGGACTTAATTGAATGATGATGGAGTATATGGCCCAAGAACCCCCGGCCCATAGACTCCCACTTCTCCTACACAAGTCCATTGAGCCCGGAGGACATCTCAGGCCCAAATACAACGGCCCAAGCTTCAAAGTAGCCCAGAATACACACTGGGGTGCCTTCGGCCTCCTTGGCCGAAGGCTCCAAAACTCTCAGAATAGCCTTCTCTGGCGTAAGGAGCTACTGGGAGAAAACGGGCGAGAACATTAGCCTTCGGCACTATTGAGCCCTCGGCACCAGGGGAAGCCCTCGGCTGAACCAAGGAGCCCTCGGCTACACGAGGAGCCTTCGGCCATACAAGGAGCCCTCGGCTACACGAGGAGCCTTCGGCTGGACTAGCTCAATCATCGAAGATTCCTTTTGGAGACAGCCAACAACCGCATTTAATGCCACGTCGCATCCGCCAACCGCATTCAATACGGTGAACGTACCACTGCCGGTGCCAACCGGCTGATGTGACCCTTCGGCCGTTGGATTACTGACACGTGTCCCCTCATCGCATTTATTGCTGCTATAAATAGCAGCCCGTTTCTCCTTGTAAGACAATCTACATCTCGATTACACACACTGAGTTCATTTAATAAAATCGACTCTCTCTCCTCCTATTTGCTCTGACTTCTCTCTAGTTATTCCCACAATAACCCCTCGGATAAGATACCCCCCGGGTAGACAGTCCATCATTTGGTGCTCTCATTGAGAGGTCAGAACAATCAAGTAAGAAACCCTCCCCCTCTACCAAACACAAAATACTTACCAAAAATGGGAAGAACCACCCGTGCCCAGTCCAAAACCCTTGAGGAGAACCACATAGTGTAATAGCCAAGATTAATTTAAGAGGATTAATAGTACTACTCATACCAACAAGGTGCATCTCCTTTTAAGGGAGCTCAATAGCCAAGAACTCCAAAGTTAAGCGTGCTTGCACGGGAGTAGTCTTGGGATGGGTGACCCCCTGGGAAGTTTCTCAGGGCGCGCACGAGTGAGGACAAAGTGCGCCTAAAAGGCTAGTGGCGGTTTGTGAGGACAGTACTATTGGT